TTTTTTTTTTTTTTTTTTTTTTTTTTTTTTTTTTTTTTTTTTTTTTTCTTTTCTTTTCAAACAAGTATGCCGTTTTCGGACAGAGTCTGGCTGTTATTGGGATACATCCAAGTGAGCCTAGTCTGAGTAGGTCCTCATCCTGCTATTCTAAGCTAGCGGGGCATAAACCTCAGTTGATGTTGTCAAGTCCTTCGCTTAAACCACCAGTAACTCCTGAAGAACCGGGTCAACCCCTTTGGACAGAGAAACAAAAAGACTGTGGCTGTTGGATCATCAATCCAGTGGATCAACTGCACAAAGCTGGTTTCCTGGTAATCAGGGTGGTCATCAAGGTAGTGGCGGTTTGAAGTTTAAACATCGGTACCTCGGGATCTGGCCCTAGGGAACCATACAGATTTCGGCTCAGGCAGTGGAGTCAATTTTTCAGAATGGTGAGGGCCCAAATAGTTCCAGTTGAAAGATGGCCATTTTGGGGGCCTCTGGATTGAATTTTGTGCCTGTTTGAGGCTCCTTACCACGCCTCCCTATCACCTGTTCGCCGTTCGCCGTTCGCCGTTCGCCGTTCGCCGTTTCCTCAGTAACCAGGGATTATAAGAGGCCCTCAGAGGTACTGGTGATGCAATGAAATTATGAATCGTTGAGGTGCTAGGCTGATTGTGGCATACTGCGCAGCCACACGGGCCTGTAGGGCCCGACCAGATGGAAAATAAGGGCCTTCCAGGCCCTGTGTCGTTTCAGCCTAAAAAAAAGCCCCTCCAGGCCCTGAGTCTTTTCAGCCTGAAACGGAGGGCCATTTCCAGGCCCTCATAAGGTCGACCTGCCCTGAAACTTAGGCACCAGACCAGGGTTTTAGCACAGGCGATTTTCGGGCCTGTTTCAAGACAACCTTTGTTTGAACTTCAACGCCAGGGTCTGGCACGATTCGGCATGGGCAAGAGCAGCCTCCCAGGCCGGACCAGCACTATATAGTACTGGTCCGCCCTGCACTTCACAGGCAGTTCACGGGCACTTCACGTGCAGGAGGCAGGAGGCATTCTTCAGGATATCAGCAGCAGCACTCTGGAGGAGCGCTGCAGTAGTAGTAGCGTTAGGAGTAGTCTTCAGCGCTGGGCGCTATTAGGAGCTAGAGTAGCGTTGGAGAGAGGGAGATGGTTGGCGGAGGCCACGGAGACTTACCTGTGGCGCCATAGCTCCAGCTTCGTCTTCGATGTACCTGCAACAAGGCGCCACCTTCACAGGTTAGTACCGGAC